CTGTTTGATGCATGTAACTTGGCCACCAGCATAAAAAATGGTCAGGTTAGAGAATTTGTTATGTGCTAACAAGGTAATTAGGAAACTTAAATCTGATAGTGTACCCCTTAAGTTCCAGCATTTGGGTGATGGTGAATTGTCTTTGGTAGTCTTCAGTGATGCCTCACTGGGTAGTCTTCGTGATGGCGGTAGTCAAGGAGGATATTTTATTTTTCTCATGGGGGAAACTGGAAAATTCTCACCGATTTGTTGGAATTCAAAGAAGATTCGCCGGGTAGTGCGTAGCACTTTAGCTGAGGAAACACTTGCCATGGCCGATGGCATCGATTCTGCAATGTTCATTTCAACTTTGTATTTAGAACTGACAGGTAGTGATAGTAGATATACCAAGTTGCCACTTGTTTGTGTAACTGATTGTAAGTCTTTGTATGAAAGCTGTTAAATCCACTAAGCTAGTCAGTGAAAAAGGACTACGTATAGAGGTTAGTGGTATTAGAGAACTGATTGAAAGCAATCAGATTAAAGAGTTTATATGGTCTGAAAGTAAAAATCAACTTGCAGACTGCCTTACTAAGAGAGGTGCTTCTCCGCTGGTGTTATTGAAGGTACTTCAAGAAGGGATTTTGGACATTTACTAAATTCTGTGATTTTGATCTTGTTAGATATTTGTCACTGTGAATTTATGTTCTAAACCTTTTGCTATACTACTATTTAGTTTGTAAACTTGCTTCTTTAACAAAAAAAAATATAGAGGAGATTGTTAACTTGATGTATGATAAACTCCCAGCATGCATTGGGGTAAACATCCGGTTGACCTTTCATGTAGTGAACAGCTGAAGTTCAGGATATGTGTGAGAACTTTAATATTGAACAGAGAACCACTGCAGCATATTCTCCATGGAGTAATGGATGCCTTGAAAGACACAATCAGACACTAACTGAGATTGTAAGAAAAGTCAAAGCAGAGAAAAAAATGTAGCTGGGAGACAGCTCTGAACTGGGCCTTATTCGCTAAGAACAGCCTTACTAACATCCATGGATATAGTTCTTATCAACTTCTCTATGGAAAAAATCCTAACATGCCATCAGTTCTGGTAGACAAACCACCAGCTTTAGAAGGTACCACCATGAGTAATATAGTTGGTAGTCACATTGCTTCAATGTATGCTGCTAGGCGATCGTTTACTGAGTCAGAATGCTCAGAGAGAATAAGAAGAGCTTTAAAAAAGCAAATTCGTCCATTGATGGAGACTTGTCAACTGGGAGACAAAGTATACTACAAGCGCCCTGATAGCCCTGAATGGAAGGGTCCTGCTACTGTCATAGGACAGGATGGTACTGTAGTTTTTGCACGACATGGTGGTATGTTGGTCAGAGTGCATCAATGTAGACTCAGAAAAACAAGCCAACCAGAGACTGTTACAAGAGAAAGTATCAGTAACCATGACAGATCTCAGCAGTCAGAAAGTGTTAGTGAAGAACCTACGGAAATTCAGCATGATACATCTATAGAATTAGAGACTGAAAACAGAGAGACAGGAGAGATTCAACAAGATATGTCTAGAGACCAAGAAAATGATAACGGAGAGACTGGAGCGCAGATGTCCAAAGTAGACTCAGCTGTATTTTATTGGGTAGATGATAGTGGGAACTTAATTGGTGTATTAGCTTGTCATGTAGATGATTTTATGTGGGCTGGTGACTCTAAGTTTGAGAAATCAGTGATTAGTCAAATTCGTTTACGTTTCTGTATTGGAAAGGAAGATAGTAATGCTTTTAAATATGTCGGGATTGGGTTGGTGAGTGAAAAGGGCCAGATTTATCTTGAACAAAGTGATTATGCCAACAACCTGTTTCCTATTCTGATATCCAGAGCCAGAGCGTTAGAAACAGAATCACCACTGACTGAAAATGAGAAGGACTTACTGAGATCTAAAGTAGGACAGATACTGTGGATAGCACGTCAAAGTCGCCCAGATGTACTGTTCGATGCATGTAACTTGGCCACCAGCATAAAAAATGGTCAGGTTAGAGATTTGTTATGTGCTAACAAGGTAATTAGAAAACTTAAATCTGATAGTGTACCCCTTAAGTTTCAGCATTTGGGCGATGGTGAATTGTCCTTGGTAGTCTTCAGTGATGCCTCACTGGGTAATCTTCCCCTGATGGCGGTAGTCAAGGAGGATATTTGATTTTTCTCATGGGGGAAACTGGAAAATTCTCACCAATTTGTTGGAATTCAAAGAAGATTCGCCGGGTAGTGCGTAGCACTTTAGCTGGGGAAACACTTGCCATGACCGATGGCATCGATTCTGCAATGTTCATTTCAACTTTGTATTTGGAACTGACAGGTAGTGATAGTAGATATACCAAGTTGCCACTTGTTTGTGTAACTGATTGTAAGTCTTTGTATGAAGCTGTTAAATCCACTAAACTAGTCAGTGAAAAACGACTACGTATAGAGGTTAGTGGTATAAGGGAACTGATTGAAAGCAATCAGGTTAAAGAGTTTATATGGTCTGAAAGTAAAAATCGACTTGCAGACTGCCTCACTAAGAGAGGTGCTTCTCCGCTGGTGTTATGGAAGGTACTTCAAGAGGGGATTTTGGACATTTACTAAATTCTGTGATTTTGATCTTGTCAGATATTTGTCACTGTGAATTTATGTTCTAAACCTTTTGCTATACTACTATTTAGTTTGTAAACTTGCTGCACATCCGAAATATTCAGTCATGAAAATTTCATTAATGGATTTCTCTTCTTTGGTTAATAATGTCAAATTACATACTTCGGGCTCAGAATCATGTGATGACATATTTACAACAGATGGATCGGATCTATGTTGACAGTCCTTGGCCCAGTGAAAAACTGACTGGCATATCACACATTTTGTACGTCTACCAAATTTGTCCAAGGGATTCGTACCTTTAGGAGCATTAGCATTTCCATA